TTTATCAGCCTCATTATCAGTGAGCAGCGAGATTTTGGAGGCTTCAAGGTATATCTGTCTGCGTCCGCAGACCTCGGAGTCCCCCTCTATCCCCTCCTATGTCATTTACCTTTCCATACTTTTCTTAAATTCTGGTGTATAGAGATACTCAGTTTTCTTCTATAGCTTGTGACTTATGATTTTTCGGGTTTCGGAACACCGTGTATACTCGAGTGCTGGGTTATTTGTACATGTCGAGCAACATTTTATCATTTTATAGTTATCTGTTGCACTCTTGTTGTTCAATTCTGTTATTCCACAATTTATTAGGCTTACCTAGACATAGAGACTAGGTGTCGTCACGACGTCTTACGGAGGGAGATTTGGGTCGTAACACTATCACTCATTTTCAACTTAAGACTTGGAAGAAGTGATCTATGGGTATTGAAATCAATTGTCTCCTTCTCCTTTGGTCAAATCAATTGTTTCAACAAAAACAATGAAGTATTGTGTGGTATGTATTTAACTAACTTTGTGTTCACGAAAGTATTTATAATATTTGACTTGAGATATGTTTTTATTGGTTGTTGAATAATTTCAAATGCTTTAAATATTGGTAGCTATTTGATAAAAATGTATTAGAATTTGGCCATTGTTGTTGTTGGAAAAATAGGTTTTTAGTAGCGACATAACCTTGCTACAAAAAGAAATTAGTATTTATGGCGATCAAGGTTGCAACTAAATCTCAAGCTATTGTAGCGATGATAGTTGCCACTGAAACTATAAAGGCTTTAGTGGCCACTATAGTCGTTAATAATTGTAGTCATACAGTGTGGGAAGACATATTTATTAGCTATTTGTAGCGACTAAAGTCACAACAAATATGTCGTGTTGTGGCGACTTTTTATCGTTTTGTGGCGACCCAATGAATCGTCACAAACAACATTCAGTAACGGTTGTACTTGCAGCAACCCTAAGGTCGCTACTATATGTCTTTAGCAGCGATTTTGTGGGTTTTCTAGCGACTTTTATCGCCACTAAAAGTCCGATCTCTTGTACCGACTTTTGTCGCCATATCAATGCGTGCGCAAATAACCCGCCAGCATTGATATGGATTTGCGTGTTAGTAACCCGAGGAAACTTTATTGAATTGAGTTCGGTCTAAAATATTTCTACTTCTAAAATAATTTGACTTTAAATTTTATTATTTTACTCTTAGTGATTTTCTTTTTATAACCATAAAAAAATTACAACATATTTAAAGTTAAAAGTTCTAAAAATCTTCCTTTCGATTTAATTAATCAAATAGATACATAAATTTGTGGGTCCACAAGACCGCGTCAGAGTGTGACGTTGTTTGGTTGACGCTGATTAAGTACCGAGAAGGCAGAAACAAACACTAGTCACAGTCAACAGTTTCCATTTTCCATTAAATTTTAGGGCACACTTTTATAAAAGAAGAAATTAGTATATGATGAAGGAAATTACAAAGATTTTCCCCTTTTCCTTACCATGTCATTTTCGTTCGTTTTATCACTTGCTTCTATTTTTGTTAATTTTATTTGGGTCAAGAAGTTCTTGGGATGGTGATTTAAATTTATTTTATTTGGTCAAAAAGTCATTTCAAAAATATTTTTTGTTTAATTATTCGTATTACAACCTATTGATGCGGTTAATTCAGACTCATATGACCCGATAAAGGAGGAAGTGGCTCTTTAACAGAAAATTCTTTATTTTTAGGATTCTCGAATTCAAGACCTCTAATTAAGGTTGGAGTAATCTCATCCATCCCAATTAGGGTGTCAATGGATATTTGAAAATCGACTATATCGACCGAATCGTGCCGCACCGAACCGATTTTTAGGTTTCTTTTAATAACACCGTAGATTTTTATATAAATCTACAACCGTACCGACAATAACGAACCGTACCGAATAAATTTACATGTGAAAAATATGTATGTTATGTTTAAAAATAATAATTGAATTTTCCTTTGGCCTAGGAATTATGAAAATTGTTACAAGCCAACGTAATTAAAATCAAAACCCTAATTCCCAAACCTAATATACTACTCCTACTGAAACTAAATTATTTTTAACATATTCACTAGCAAGACACAAAGTATTCTAGCAGTTATGACTATGAGTAACAAACCACAATGTATTGAATATGTTTCCTTTCGTATACGTCAGATTTATCTTTTTGAATATTTAATCTACCACAAACTTTATTCATGAGTCCCCGCTTGGTTAATATTTTTTCACTCGTGTAATTTATCTTTTCGTAGTTTCTTTTATATTGTTGTAGAATAGTTGATTGATCTATACTCTGGCTATCTTTCATGTTTTCTTAATTCATCCCATTTAAACAGTAAAGTTGTCTAGAGAAAGTATGTATGGTATGGCATTCTTCTTTTACTAGTGACTTTTACATGATATTTAAAAAAAATACCGAAAATTAACCGAACCGTACCGGTACCGAAGAGAAACCGACATGATTGGGACGATTTCGAAAAATCTAATTTTGTTTATACATAATAGAATAATCAAAAAAATGATATGATATAAATTTTATGAAATACCCGGTCGAACCGAACCATTAACACCCCTAATCCCAACATATTTGTGATGGTATTCAACAATAATGCTTTAGTAAAATTATACAAGTCAAGATCTTTAAAAAACTATTTAATTTGTCAAGAAGTTTCCTCACGTTGGTATTAATCTTCCAACTAATTTGTGGTAAAGAGTGTCAATTTGCACCAATTTATTCAATGTAAATATTGTAAATATCTCTGAGATTAAAAAATAAGCAAGTTAATTTTAACTTTACCTCACAAGTGAAATGGAAGAGTATTAAATACCGAGTGGGACAATTAAATAGCTACCGTTCATTTTCAATTGTCTCCTTCTCCTTTGGTCAAATTTTTGACTTTTACTTCTTTCTTTCTGTTTCCTTTCATTTTCCCTATGTACTACTGGATTACAACCATTTCATATAGTTCCAAAAAGACTTAAGTAGGCATTTGGACATAAAAATAGTAAATTTTTTTAAAAATAATAGTGTTTGGAGTTAAGTTAAAAATAATATTTAAAAAATTATGTTTGGATATTCATTTCACTTGAAAAATATTGTAGTTTTGTGAGTGGGGGAAAACAAAATCGAAATTTTTGAAAAAACTCATTTTCGAATTTTTTTCAAAAACATGCAAAATTTGATGGACAAATATAATTTTGAAAAAAAAAACGATATGGATAAACGGGATCAAAAGGGAAAAAATTTTATGGGCAAAATTCTGTATAAAAAAATTCTTGACTCAAATATCTCAAATTCGAGATCTCTGATTAAGAGCGAAGGGATAGATCCGACCACACCCTCGATGGTATAGAATTTGGATTCCAAGACCAAATTTTCTTCTTTTTTTGTTTCTTTCTCGGTCAATGCTGAAACTTTTATTTAACTTAAAGTTTGAATTCAACACCTTAAAGTAAGTTACGTTGGAAAAAACCTTGAAGCAAGAAGTTCATCTTTTGTTGGGTGAGAGAAATCCGATTGTAGATGTGCACAAACATAATAATTCATTAAATATAAAAGGATTTATAAGGTGTGGTTTGCTAGGATGTATTAGAGAAAATGAAATATGATTAGCTTTGATATTATTAATCCCTTATTTGATAGTGTATTAGTTAGGTACCATATTCGGTATTATTCTTATACCTAACAAAACATGGCATTAACAATACCATGATTTTTTATACATAGCTAAGCATGTTTAAAAACAGAATTGCCCTTTCAAAGCCTTTTCTAAATCCTTTTCCAACCGGTCGGAGAGTATTTTGTAAAAAAATATTTTTTAAAATAAAATTATGCAATGCATGTTATTTTTAATACATCAAACCAAACAGTCGATAAGAAATATTTCCAGCATAATTAATTTCAATATAACTAATCCAAATATTACTAATACTCCATATTTAATACTATACTTATAATACCTACCAATTGACCCTAAAGTGTTTTGGTAGTAAGATAAGGTTTGGATTGTGTCGATAATGATGGTTGGTCAACGAAATAATTAAGCAAAAAGAGAATAATTGATGATTAAATATAGGAATCAATGAGACCATCATTATATATCTTCCCTTTTTTCCTATTGTTTTTCCTCGAATTAATGAACATAAAATATCCTGTATTAGAACCTAGCTTGTTAAGAAATCAAAAGAAGATAAGATTGAATTCAAGAATTAAACTTATAATTTAAATTAAATAATAAAATAGAGAAACTACAACTCATGACTCTCTTGATGAAGAACCATGTGGTAGAAAAATATGACTACCTTAATTTAAATTACTGAAATTGATTTCTTTGTTGTTTTCCTCTCCGTCCAACATGATGTGAAGGTTTTTGTCCATTTTATAGAAATCCTTCCCTCCTCTCTTTCTCTCTCACCATCTCTTTGGGAATTTTGTCAAAGTTCCATAAATGTTGATGAAATTTGCTTACACGTAAATTACGTAATTGCATGGTTCTGAATCATTAAAAGAAAAAGAAAACTCGAATACTTCTTCCATTTTATTTAATATATTGGTGTTTGATTATACACGAATTAAATATTAAAAAAAACTTTTGAAACATTAAGAGTATGTTTAAGGTATGTTATCTTAAACACGTCATGCTATGTTTGTATTTATTAGAGCATATTATTAAGATTTTATATAAAAAGCTTTAAGTTTAACAATTAAATATAGAAAAGTTTCCTTTTTCTTATATATTTTCAACTGAAAGCCTTATTCATTGACCGATTTCTCCATAGCTCTTCTCTCTTTTATCTGGTTGTCTTGGATGATTCAACCATAATTTGAAGGGAAAGTACAATATTTCAAAAGGTTATACATAGGTGTCCCTCAAATGGGATAGTGGTCGGGATCAGGGTTCGAGGTCAAGGCGTGGGGACAGAGAAGGAAAATATTTTTTATGAAAATCATTTTTGAGGGACACATAAAGGAGTGTCCCTCAAATGGGATAGTGAATGAGGATTAGGGTTCGAAGTTAATGTGTGGGGTCGGGGAAGAAAAATATTTTCCATGAAAAATTTACTGAGAAAAATATTTAAAAAAATATAGCTAGTGAAGTATATACATAAAACAATAAATTAAATGCTCAAAAATAAATTCGAGTAAGTAGCAATGAATGCTCTCACTTTTCTAAAATTGTATGTCAAAGCAAAACAAAATAGAAAATCACTTTTTTGCTGACAAGTCTTATGTTTTTCCTTACTCTTCCAACATTTGATGTCGAAGCATAAAATTTTTAAAAAGAATTAGTAGTACTATTTTACTATCATATTAAAGAAAATAATATTGCAATGTTAAAAGCATCTTCCTCCTTCTTCATTACAACATTCAAATTAATACGACGTGCATAAATAGTGCTAAGTACAGCCAAAGCAGCGTAAGGAACAACATATCAATGGTAAGAGTATCTTCCTTCTTGCTTATGTGTTATTTTATGGAGCTGCATGTTTGATTATCTCTAACTGTTATGCAGTTGATACATGTAATTTTATTAATGTTTTCTGTAATGTAATAATAACAAAGAGATTATTTTAATTTAAAAGAAAACAGGCTGCAAAGTGTCTTCATAGTAGGACTTTAATTACAATTATGACATAGTTTGAAAAAGAATTTAACTTTATATACACTAGAAAATGTGTAACAAAAGAAACGGTGTAAAAGTCGATGTTTTGAAGAAATAGTATATGGTAATGAAAGTGATATTTTTCTGAAATTTTGTAGACAACTTCCAAAAGAGTTGCAGAGAGGAAAGTGGCTAAGTTTGAGAAGAATATCACAAAGAGGGGAATATTGCATCTTGATAGAGACAAGAAAGGAGGATTGGAGCCAATTCATGTTTTTCTTGTCCTCTTTGCTGTTTTGTTCCTTGGATCTTGTAAGTTTTCCTAATCTCTCAACCATTTTCTATTTATTAACACCATGCAGCTCTATAAAGGGCAGCAGGTGCATATAGTATGCTGTATTTATGCAGGGTTCGGGAAAGGGTTGCACTCAAGGGTGTGACGTAGACAGTCTATACTAATGCAAGTATTATTAGTAATTGTTTCTACGGCTTGAACCCGTGACTTATATGTCACAGAAAGACAACTTTACTGTTGCTCTAAGGCTCCCCTTCACCTGCAACTTTATAAAGGGCAGCCCGATGAACTAGCTCCCGCTATGCGCTGGGTCCTGGGAAGGGCTGGACCATAAGGGTCTATTGTGCGCAGCCTTACCATGTATTTCTGCAAGAGGTTATTTCCACGGCTCAAATCTATGACCTCCTGATCACATGGCAACAACTTTACCAATTACGCCAAGGCTATCCTTCTTCATATGCAGCTCTATATTTTTTTCTTATAATTAAGTTAGTGCTACAGTTTATAATGGTGGAAATCAACCCCTAAATGTTTGATAGAAATGTTAATTATATCTTTAGATTGATGGGATAATTTTTTTTATTTTTTTTCCATTTGGAAATGTGACAGTTATTTTCCAGGCTGTGAGAATGGCGCTTAATGGTGGATTGCTACCAAGATAGATGGATGCTTTCAATTTTTCCAGGGAAAGGAAAAAGAAGATGACAACTGAATTCAGAAACTTTTTGAGCCTAGCTATTAGAGAAACTAAGCTCTTTTATTAATATTTACTGACATTTTCAACCAAAGAACATCCAATAAGTATGTGAAAAACTCTTTTGCATGGTGTAACTAGCAATGCCTGTTGTATCCAATCTCTCTTGCTTCACCTATTAGCAGAGCTTTCAGCATAAAAATGCGAAAGAACTTGCTTACCTATCTACGATATGCGCATGAAATGAATAAATACAAGTGTCCTGCACATAAATATTTTGTCACTTGACCATATTTAAATACTACTGAGGGTTGAAACAAAATAAGAAAAGAACAACGAAATTTAAATTAATATGAGCACTTTCTAACTCTTGCTTGAGACTGAAGCGCAATTGTTATTGTACTTTCTAACTCTTGTCAGCATGTCTTATACCATACAAACAAAATGAATGCTGACCAGAAACTTGTTCTACATCCAGAAAGCTGGTGTTTTTTTTTTTTGGGGTGGGGGGGGGGTGGGGGGGTGGGGGAGGGTTGTGGGAGGTAAGCTTAAGAAGATTGTTTTCTACATAATATTGGAAGTTGAGAGTGGGGATGTTGGCTTGCTACGAGGCATTCACCAATAATAACTTGAGCCTTAGAACTTATTATGGATCTGCTTTCTGTATGTGTATTTACTTTCATCAGATCTACGAGCTGCACGAACTGAACTTTTCGCTGCCCTTGAACGTTGACAACACTCTGAACTTTTCGATACTTTGCTTGTACAAGAAATGCAGCTATAGCTAGTCTCATGGTACACTTGTATATTGTTTTTAAACAAGTTCTTATCATCTGGAGAATTGAACTCAAATTCCTAAAAGAAAATCACATTGAGACATCAAAATACAGTTCATACTTCAAACTTCAAAGAACTGCAGATTCAGGAATTTTAACCTTGATGGTTGACATGTATGCAATATATATCGAATGAAGCTATAACTTTGAAAGGTTCCTTTTTAGACACAAGTAAAAACCACACTAATAGAGGTACTTAATCAGATTATTAATAGTAAGGGGTAGTCCTTTGAAGCTTCAACGAGTACAACAATTCATGCGGCTTTATTTGGATCATGAAACACTTACCTTGGACTTCGTCTTGGTAGAATAAGGTGTTAAGCACGGATTTAAGTCCTTGAGAAGCATGTCATCTGGACTTCCGGGAATTGTAGGTTCAGAACTGAATTCCTAGAGAAAGAAAAACTTAGTTAACTCTCTGAAGCTTAAGCTTGAAACATAACAGCCAAATGCTTTCTGAATCAATCCTAACTTGGAGCAGAAACATTGGTCGTTCGTTTGCCACCATCTTTGTTTCACATTTTCTAGTTCAGCTTATCGTTAAAACTTACTAACCAGAGAATACGCTGCTTCTTCTTGATCGTAATCTGGTGTCCTTGGGGAGCTACTATGAGAATCATAACACCCTCTTATAGAGTACTTATCTGCCTTAACCTGTATGAAATATATAAGTCAGTCATTTTCAGAAATGGATTCGACAGGATATCACGCCTTTGTTACCTCCAAACAAAATGGATAAATAAGTAATCTGATGATTTAAACTCATCATTGATGTAAATAATTCCTCAATCTAATTGCAAAGAACATAGCTTGACAACATAAAGAGATTGAAGTGTTACTTGACTTCCATATAGTACTGTGGTGGGGAAAAAAAATCTGCATACCTACGAGACGTTTAGCCAATGCAAATGGAGGAACGTGGAAAAAGATTTTAACAAGGTTCAGTATGTGAAAAAATTTCTTCTATCAGTTATATAGCAGTACAACAACAATAACCCAGTTGAATCCCACAAGTGGGGTCTAGGGAGGATAGTATGTCAGCAGACCTTACCCCTACCCTGGGAAGGTAGAGAGCTGTTTTTGATAGACCGCCGGCTCAAGATAGAGCAGTAATTAGCAGTATTGAACTATAATTGCTGCCTATGCACACTAGTACACCTAAATTTTCACATCATAGCTAATTTTGCTAATTTGCCTTTGTGGTTAAGCAGTATAGGGAGACATGTACTATTAGGTAATCTTCTTATAGAACTCAGTTAATGATATTGGTGGAAACTCACACCAAGAGCATATATTTGGTAGTAGAAAATTTGAAACACTGAAGAACATAACTAAAAATGGACTTGGTCTCTTTCCTTCTAGCTTTTAAGTTGAAGATTGCTAAGATGGCTGAAAATATCAAACAATAATTGACTTCATTTAGCTATAACAACAACGACAACAAACCCAGTGAAATCCCACAAGTGGGGTCTAGGGAGGGTAATTTGTACGCACGCAGACCTTACTCCTACCTTATGAAGGTAGAGAGGTTGTTTCCAATAGACTTTATTTAACTAATACCACTTATCTTTAGGAATACTGCAGTTCTTTTAATACTACGCCTATAGTATATCTTGAGTTAGATGTTAGACTGATACAAAGACACAACCTCCACAAGTTCAAGAAAATGGCTTCTTCTTAAACTTATGGTCTTATATTAAGCTATGATGTGCGGACTCTCCGAAAATGTCGTCGGGTGCGTGTCAAATCCTTTAAAAGTAGCGTATTTTTAGAGGATCCGACACGGGTGCGACAGCATTTTGGAGAGTCCGCGCAACATAAATATTAAGAATATTAGACAACTGGCTTATGGATTTATTATAAAGTGTGTGATCATATTAAGCTGAAGGTTACCTCGGCAAGATCAACAGCAAGGCACTGTAGTTGGCCTGTAAGAGAAGTAACCTGCCTTTGAAGACTTGGTATAAGCTGCTTTGCCTGCTTGAGTTCTGAGCCCTGCTTCTCCAAAAATTCCTGAAGTTGAGAATTCATTACATCTGGGAATAGTATGGAGTTTTTCAGTGACTTTATCTCTTCCCTTTGCTTCAAACACAAATCCTTTAACTTCTCAACCTGTTATCATTTAATAAACTAGAAAATGAGATCACAGCACTGTTTAAGCTTCAAGTCATAATGCAACAACAAGATATTAATCCACCTTCCAATTTCCAATTGTTGGAGATGAAAGAGAGACACTTCTGACAATTCTTAATTGTCTTTTCTTTCTAGTTCAACTCCAAGACTCATACAAGAAAAACAAAAGAAACAGATAAATAAAAAGCCAATCTTGGTTGTTGGTTCCTGTCATCCACTACTAACACATATAGGCATATTCAATTATATATGCAGCTTCCAACTTTGTATCTTCAATCAACAACAACAACAAACCCAGTGAAATCCCTAGTCTGGGGAGGGTAGTGTGTACGGAGACCTTACCACTACCTTGTGAAGGTACAGAGATTGTTTCCAATAGACCTCACTCAAAGAAACTTTGTATCTATAATCAACATGGTATATTCAATTAGATATGCAGCTTGCAACTTCACATCCTTACTCAACGTGCCATAATATTTTTCTAATAATCGAGAAATCGCTAGGGGCTAGTGGCGCATGATCCGAAACTTGATGGGTAACAAGCCCGCCCCTCTATTTCATGTATTGTAATGTCATCCACCACATTTTTGACAACTAATGTGCTATTTTCAATAAGAGCATTGCTAAATTCCCACATTATGCAATTAACAACTACCACAACCAAAGACATCAATACCATTTTAGCAGAAGCATACACTAAAAGAAAGCTAGTGATCCAATCGTTCTAACACTAAACTTCTTTCACTAAAGAACCAAAAGATCTGCACATGTGCTAATTATCCTGATAACCTATCACCTAATATTACTTTTTGAGAGTTTCCTCACATTTAATCCCTACATAATCTAAAAAGAAGCAACTTTTAATAAAACCCCACATTTTGGTCAAAATATTTCACTGCAAGTTAACATCCAATTATTGATGTAAAACATGCAAACGTCTGGAGTACCACGTGGAATAGTCAAGGTGCTCGTAAGTTGGGGCCAAACAAAAGGGCAGCCTGGTGCATTAAGCTCTCGCTATGTGCGGGGTCCGGGAAGGGCTGGACGCTTGGACCAGAGGGTCTATCGTACGTAGCCTTACCCTGCATTTCTGCAAGAGGCTATTCCACGGCTCGAAGCCGTGACTTCTGGTCACGTGGCAACAACTTTATCAATTACGCCAAGGCTTTCCTTCGGGTTGGGGCCAAACACCACCATCATAAAAAAAACACTTATCACTATTCTTGAGCAAAAAAAATTCAATTTTTTGGGGAAAAATTAATACTAAAATGGATTCTAATAGAATTCTAGCATTAAGCAAATTACACAATTCAAGAATATACCTCTATGTTTTTCTCCTCAAGCATCAATTTGAGCTCAACAATCTGATTCTCTTGCTCCTTATTCATACTCAACAATTCCCTCTCACTTCTAAGCACCATAGCTAAAGTCCTAGTATTCCCTTTGACTTCAGTCAACGCCTTTTTCTTCTCACTACCTTCTTCTCTTTTCATTCCTTTAAACAGCTTCTTATGCAGAGCGCTCAAACCAGTACCCCTTTTCGCCGTCTTCTTCAAATCTTCTGCTACAAAATCCGCTAGTTTCAACTCGCTCTTCAGCTTCGAATTATATAATGATGACCCCGATTTGTGCTCCACGAATTTCTTGACTAAAGAGCCTAAATTGTGGCGCGTCGCGGATGGAGCTTGAGGGCGCGTGAGAGCGCGTGAAGAGCCCCGAGACAGGTGGTAGTGGGTTTGAGGGGTTAGGTCGGTAGAGGAAGAGGGGAAAGAACCTATGGAAGAAAAACTGGAATTGGCATAGCGAGAAGATGGCTTTATTGAAGCCATTAGATGGGATTTTGATGTCTCTGTTTTTTTGGAGGGAGTAAGGTTTGAGTTTAAGACAGAGAAAAGATCATTTCTTGGTGGTTTTGTCTGTGTGTGTGTTACAGGAGAGAGTGAGAGTGAGGTGGACTCTGAGATGGAGATGATAGAGGAGAAGGTTTTTGGCGGCTGTCCGAATTCAAATTGTTTTGGCGAGGAAGGCGCTCCCTGCTAATTTCGGGCCCAATTTCTGTGGAAGGGCTTTTGCATTTTTTGCTCACGTTTTAACTTGTGTCAGCTTTGCAAAAAAATTGCAAGCGTACCCACTTTTTCGCGTAACTTCAGTATGTGGGGCTTAAGTAGCAAAGGCAATCACGCAAAACTTCAGCATTCTAGTAGACGGGTTTGAAGTAGCAAAGGCAATAGAAGATGCTGAAGTTATTTAGTTCATTTGTAAAAACTTCAGCACAAATAAGCTGAAGTTTTTGTCCTGAATTCATTAGTTTTGT